TTCCTTTGTTCACTCTCTCTTTTTGTTCATCCTTAAACATTCTTTCTTGTCTAGTCCTACCCATTAATTTGTAAACACCCTCGTAAAACAACTTCTTGCTTCCTCTGTTGTTCTTCCCTCTGGATTCTTCCTAATTAGTTCTTTAATCTGCTAAAGTTATCAATATCACAAACATATTAAAGAATTTCTGGATCCATGTTTCTTACCTCCCCTGCTGGTGTCATATTCTCCTTGGATGACATTCCCAAGCCCAATTTCTTCCTCCATTACTTTTCATCCTTGACTTCAACCTATCATGTTTCTGAAAATAATTTTGAATTCTATCAATCTGAAACTCTCACCTCTTTTCAACTTCAGAGCTCTGACTCCCTGTGGAGGAGCGATTACTCAGGAAAAAATTCAATATGGTGTATTAAACTCTATTCATCCAGTTTCGAACTCTGAAGTCTCTGCAGTCAATTCCACTGTTACTAAATTATGTTACATTAAAATCCAATGTCTTAGAACCTAATAACTAAAAAGCTGCCAAATTCTATCAGTTCTTACGTCAGTGTTTCCAGAATACAGTGTTTTACCCTAAAACTTGGCATGCAGCTTTCTATTTCATGTAAGGACTATTCCAGTGCTTCCTTGTCTACCTGCTATACTTACTGCCTCACTACTCTTGAGTCCAGAGGAGGGCCACAAAAATGATCTGAGGGCTGGAGCACCTCTCCTATGAGGACAGGCTGAGAGAGTTGGGGTTGTTCAGCCTGGAGAAGAGAAGGCTGCGGGGAGACCCGATTACGGCCTTTCAGTACCTAAAGGGGGCCTATAGGAAAGATGAGGAAAATCTTTTTAGTAGGGCCAGCAGTGACAAGACAAGGGGTAATGGTTTTAAACTACACCAGGGTAGGTTTAGACTAGATATAAGGAAGAAATTCTTTACAATGAGGGTGGTAAAACACTGGAACAGGTTGCCCAGAGAGGTAGTGGAGGCCCCATCCCTGGAAGCATCCAAGGCCAGGTTGGACGGGGCTCTGAGCAACCTGATCTAGTTTGCGGTGTCCCTGCTCACTGCAGGGGGGTTGGACTAGATGACCTCTAGGGGTCCCTTCCAACCCAAAACATTCTATGATTCTACGAGTTCATTCAAAAAAGTGTATATTTTCTCCTCTCTGACTCTTAAAACTCAGAGCTGCTGCTTCTCATTCAAATTTTGATCACTGGATTTTATATTCGTCTCAATCTACTTTCTGACTCTTACCCTTAAGTCTACATGATACTTCCGGATCTGTTTATTTCCGAAATCTTATTTTCTAACTCTCACCTTGGAGCTTTCTTTTAATTTGCCTGCTGTGCTAGAAGCTTGTAAAGTCACCATACAGCCTCCAATCGAATCCCCACTTAAACAATCTCCTTATTTTGAGCTCATTTAAATACATAAAATTAAAATGAGAACAAGTATATCATATTGTAAGTCTACAAGAAACAGCATTCTCCAAAGGGTTTATCATATTTCTGTGGAGGAAAACTATACATGTGTCTTCCAATCACCATTCTTTTCTTTTTCGTCATTACTTTTAATATAATTCTTACTGATTAAGAAGCCTTCAAAATCCGAGTTATAACAATGCTATCAAGTGTTTCTTTGTAAATCGTATAGTTATGGATTTACAGATATCAATTTCATTTACAGTTAAGCACACATAATTCTTTATTTATTGATCTACACCTACAAGTTTCTGTCCACGTGTATAAACATCTTAATTTTGTCTACTGTATCATTGTAGCATTCTAGTGAAAAAAGGAAAAAAGGAAAGAAATGGAAAAACATAGTTTGATTTCTAGAGGAAGTAAAAACATGCTTTCAGACAAGGCTGCACCTCCAGTTTCAGTTGCAGGAATTCTATTAAAGGTCTAAGAACTAATACTGATGCCTGTAGAGTACAGACAGTATAACCACATTATTTTTAAGCTACGGCTTCCTAAGTTGGATTCCACTTTGTTTCCTCTGAAAATAATAACCAAATGGTATTTTCGCATTTCCCTGTATATATACCAAATCTGACATGCCAATTTGAGATAATGAAACTAAGACACCATTTGAAAAACACAGGAGGTTTTCTCATAAAAATATCCAGGCTTAGGCACATAAGTCAATACTTTGCAAACCAGATAAAACCATCCTGATTCTGGAAGTACAAAGAGCCCCTCATCAATATTCGGAGAATCTAAATGTATTGTGCTTTTTTAAAAAATCAATTCATTTGTATGAAGAAGTCTAAAAAAGTATTTACATGCCCAGCTTTCAGCTACGTAATATGAAAGCAGATCTTAACATCTTAAGCGTCTAAATTCTGCAATATGATGACAGGTTTGAAAAACACAGAGCCATGTAAAGCTGGTCATATTTGCAATCATCTCCTTTTATTTGAAAGGTAATCATGTCCGTATGCCAGACATCAAAATACAACATTTTCTGCTAATACTTTGCAGTTGAGACGCGCTTTCGCTGATGCCAAGATCTGACTTTGGGTCACAAGTACAGCCCATTTTTGCTACATGATTAAACCAAGAAATCCCACTTTAAATTACAACCTCTAAAAATTGACTAACCTTTCAGTATTGAAGTTGGAATGAGACAAATCAAAAATCCCATGAGTTTGAGCTGAAATTAGTTGTTGGATTTAAGCAGCTGGAGGGGGAAAAGGAGACATATCTGAAGGAAGTATATTGAGAGCAGCAGGACTCCCTTTAGGAGAGAAACAGGGAACAGTTAGCAAAAGGAAGCAAGATAAATAATGTGAGAAGAACAGTGCCTATAAAATGCAAAAAGGCTAAAAAGAGAGAAAAATTAGTTGAGAGCAGTAGTAAGTCTTAATATGAAGTGGAACAGAAAAGGTAAATGGAAGCAAAGAAGTCTTACCTCTAAAATTATAGTTATTAGCCTCTGATTAAAGTGTAAAACACTGTGAGAGGTATGTTATTACTGAATAAACTGACATGGGGGATTTGGGAGTCTCATATAAGGCTGGTATAGAGTTACTCAAATGAGTAACGGCTAGTTCCTCAACTATTCTGGCCATGGCTATGTTGACAAGGGTACATTCTCTAAAACCTGCAGTTGGACGGGACACAATGATACCTCAAAACACAAAGGATGGCAGGTAGTGGTACTGGTACCTTAGCCAGTGTTACATTTATGCATATCTTATGGAATGAATCTAGCAATATTGATGTCATTTCAAATTTATATTGCAGTGTCATTCAGCTTCTGAAGACCAGGCAGATATCAAGCACTGTTCCAAGCACTAAATCAAGCACCGCTTTAGGCTCAAAATACATGACACCTGTTTGGAAGCACTTATAAGAAAAAAAAGGATTTATTTTATAAAAACTAGATGCAAGCACTAGTTCTAGGGAAGGCACTACCTTTCTGCTAAAGCATGAGGCTAGGATCCAAAATATGCACAGCCACTAAATGCTAGGATCATCTAGGACTTAGTCTTGATAATTTGCATCCTTGCATAACAAAATCCATATCGCAGTTTCAGCTTAACATAATATGCTTTTATTTTATTTCCTAAGCAATGATGCAACTATTTCCACACTTTTGCCATATACATCTCCTGCCACTCATTGGTTATGGGTTAGAATGGCTAGTAAGAGTTGACTTGTCACCAAGGAAAGAAATTTTAGAACCAGAGTATCTTTGTACTGGATAAGACATAACCCAACAGGAAAAGCATGTGCATTATCTACATTCCATGTTCAAGATAAAAACAAATTTAAGTAAGTTCCACTATTCACCAAGCAGTACCACTGAAGTGCTATCACTACTATGCAAAAAAAAATTCAGTATAATTTCCATGTGCCTTTGACATAAATGTTGTATTTTACTTTATTAATTCATTCTGTAATACTGCTAAGTAGCTAGAAATTGTACAATATTAGTATTGCACATGTCCTTCATAGACCTGACTAATTCTTGAAAGAGAAGTCCCAGGACCAAATCGTAACCGAATGGCTACAAAAAGCTCTCATCCACTTCTCGTCCATGATGGAAAAAATTCAGAATGGATTTGTGAAAGTTAGGAAAAATTTATGGTCACTGGGGTCAGAGCAAAATGCCAACTAACCAACCTCTGTCTGTGGAAAGGATGTAGCGTTATTGTGGGAACTATTGGACTCAGCAAGTTGCATTTGTGCTCAGAGACCAACTGTATTATTACTCCATTTATTTAGTGTACTTACTCAGACACTTCTAGGACAACTTACTTCTAGAAATGCTCCCTCGCTATGGAGTGTGAACTATAAGGTGGAATATAAATGCATAGCTTATGCAAATAGAAATTGTAATCATGCATTCTAAAAAAGGCCAGTTATCTCACTATCATTGCCTTATTGAAACAAATGAATCATTATTGCATAATTTCCTCTGAAGATAACAGGAAGTCTTGGTTCTTACTTCAACACTGGATTTGGTTCAATGGCTTATTTAATTTTCTTCTAAAACACTATCATCATCTAGTGGTATATCTTCCTACTATGTAAACTGCATGTTATGAAGATGAAAGCATTTCATTTACTTAGCATTAAACACTTAGAATAAGACACAGATTTATCATTTTGCAGTTATGCCAAATGATGTGGAGGTGGGGGTGGCAAATGAAGTAACATGAAATAAACTTGACAGAACTGTTGAGGATTTTGAGAACAAACAACATGCCGACATTTTACATGACGGAAACTTGAATAATTTTCTGTCCAAAAGTGAAGACAGACTAAATAAAAAAATACAGCTTGAGGATGCTTTGTATCCTCATTCATACTATCCATAAAGTATAAAGGGACATGAGCAAATATTTTGAAAGAAAACCTTGCAGGTTTTTCAAACAAAATAATTTTTCACACTGTTTTTCTTATAATTTGGGGAAAAAAAAATTTCCCATCTACAGAAGTCCACTATTCATTATGAACATATAACCAGAATCTACATAAATAAGTTGTTGACTTACGTGGTAACTTTTCAATCTAACAAAATCCACTTTCATTGAGATGAACCTTTCTGAATTCCGGCTGAGATTTTTAATGTGCTCCACAAGGTCAGCACAGAACTTGTAGCCACCTTTGAGGACACAGAGAACCACAATATCATTGTCTCCAATGTCTTGCATAATATCTTTGGCCAATCGTTCTGTCCTGTGGCAAAAAAAATAAGGATAAAATAATATTAGATGCAGATTCTAAGTTCATGGTATGCTTTCCATGCGGTTACAAAGAAACACTATGGTGAGCCTATAGCTTGACTGACAGTCTGTTTAAGTGTCTTGACTTGACTGGGTTTGGATCAAGTTCACAGTAGGCAGATACAGAGTGATGGATGCAAGATGCAAAGCATGTGAATCAAACTCGGTAACCTTAAATGCATAAATTCCCCAGTTATAGAAAAGGAAGTAACACATCTCAGCGTATGTTGGATTCATAAGCATTTCTGAGACTTTGGTGTAAAGAATGCAACTTAGCCTTCAGTTTTACCTCACAGGAAACATCAATATAAAATATTCCTGTACAATACCCTAACTTGTTATGTTAGTTACTATGCAAGAACAAAAATTCCAAAGACTACTTTGCATTTTAAAAAGAGTATGAACTCCAGCATAGACAAAAATGTACTAATTTCAATTTCTAAATAAAAACATACTAGTTTTTTAACCTATATTTAGTTGCTACCAACTGACAAGACAATTTTCGCAAGTGCTCAGCCTTCTTCCTACATGAAAATTTTGCATGATCACCATATATTCAGTTCTGCGCCCTTTTACATTAGAACAGAATCAGTCTTTTCTGCTGGCACAAGAAAAAACAGTGGAGCTCATTCTGCTGGAGTACAAAAACAACACTGGAGTTCAATGCTTACTTCAAACAAATATATTTTGAATTCTGTGAGAACTGAAGTTGTAATGTATTTATTTAAAAAAGAGGAATTAAAAGTCAGTTGACCCTAATCAAAAGAGATGAAAAATTCAACACAATGGTAACTGAAAAGGCATTTAAAGCAAGCTTGTGTTTAACAACAAATACAGGAGTCATGACTCTTCCTTATGATGGATGTTTACAATCTTCTTTCAAGGAGTTCCAACAATTTCAGTACTTGAAGCCGGCTGTTTATATGTGGTAGGTAGAAAACTGCAGGCTGAAAATGTCCCATGAAATTCCATTCAGATATTCCCAAAAAATACGCTGTTGAAAATTACCCTTTCCATTTTATGACTTTTTCATAAGATTTTTAACCGCATGTCAAAATAATAACTGAGCATGAACACTGAGCTGGACTACCACAACTACCAAAGCACCATCAAATGCCTGCACTGAGAGCACATGGGAACTACTACAAGGTAAGGAATAAGGGATGATCAAGCTTTCCCACTGCCACCCACCAAATCTAGCATCTTGGCCCAAACAGGGCATGACACGCTTTTTGGTTGTGCTGAATGGCAGAAGTCAATGGTGCAGTTGGAAATCAAAATTAATGATTTGTACTAGGGAGTTGCCAAAGCTGTACATAATTGAACGTTGTCTTTTCTCCTTTTTGTATTAAAAACACAGGATGGTTTGAGTGCAAGTGGGACATTCAAGTATAACTATATGCAAAGCTTTGTACTTGCCTGTTCACCTCCAGTCCAGCTCTCTTGTTATTTACATTCCAATGCCAATTTCACTGTATGATCACACTTTCCTTTTTGTGGAACTCCTGTCTCATTCAATACCCAGATCAGAAATTACATGGAAGAAATTAGACAGGGAGTTGCAAAGGCAGCTACAAGTCTAGCATTTCCTAACCTTCAAGCATTTTTTTTGCTTTAAAACTTAAAGAAATAAAAATATTTTTATAATTGCTAATATAATATTTTAGGAAAAATGTTACATACACGCTGTCTGTGGATGACAGGCTTAATAAAAAAGAATATTACTGGCTAAAGAATTTATTTAGTAACATTCAAACTACACATACCTGTCAACAATAATGCCATGAGGTATGAGCACATATTCCAGATCTCCGTAGTAGTGTTGAGGATAAGTGAACAAATCCAGACTGTATCCGGGCCAATTGTCTGAAATCTGAATAACAAACAGTCCTGTTAAGAACACTTCATGGCATTTGACAACACATAAACGATATACAATCAGTGTTGTAGTACACTCTGTTGGCTGAATTAATAGTATGACATACTCTCTTCCAGTTATAATTTACTATTGCACTTTTCCTATTAATTATTTTGCTTCTCAGTATACCTCAGAAATCAAATGCTACACTTTTTCCCCCCAGAATGTGGGAAATTTCACCTGAAATTAAAACTAGCCAGAAAGAGGAAGTATTTAATACTAAACTAGTGGCAAGTCTAAGTTTCTTGCTACTTTCAAACCTGAAATGCAAATGTAAGGTTACCAGTAAGAAGTGCTTCTCCAATGGGAGATTCAGACAGTGGGATTAAAAGTCATAAAATGGTACATTAAAATTGTACATTTCTAGTTTAGAGGTATTTTAAAGTCGCACACAAATAAATAAATATTCTAGAGGTGAAATAGTGCATAGGGAGAATAAATTATGTGGTTCATGGACAGTATCTGCACAAATCAGCAGACGACTGTACTTCTTGCCAAAGGTGACGTTCTTAATTTAGATAAGTCATCAAAAATAAGTTATTACAAAATGTTCACATCTCACCTCACTATCAGCTAGCCCGTGAGACCATACATTTACACAAAAAATATTTTACAAATTTAATATACATTAGTTTCATAAGTATCAGAATACAATTAAGAGATCTTGCAGAACACAATGGCAGTAGAGATTAAGTAGGGCAAAATAGCCAACAGGTAAAGGCTTCAGAAAGCTATGAAGATGCAAAGTCATCAGCACAAGAACTAAACAAACTCCAAACCAACAATCTTCACAATTCCTTATGAAAGACAAGACCTGCAGGTTCACAAGGTATCTTGGAATCATTACAAAGCTTTGCTTCAATATTGGTTCAGGATAAAAAGCGATGCCTTACAGGTTTTCTTTACAATCATGTTCCTCAAGTCACATATTGCCTTTCTTCTTTCTACAGCTTGGCCACATGAACCTTGAGTAGAGCGATAAATGACAAGAAACTTACCTTTGTGTGAAGTGCAGCTCTTAATGGCATTTCTGCTAAATACAGCCTTTAAAGGACCATCACTGAAACTAACCTCTGCTTACCATTGCATGTAGTGGAGTAACAAACTGTGTCTCCAACACACCTAGGCTAACACAACATCTGTGTTCTAGTCTTCTTGAACTTAGGCATAGCCCTGCCTCACGCTGTACTGAAACTGTTCTGCCTCACGGATTTTTGTTTTGTTGGGGGTTTTTTGCATATTCTTTGACAGCTACAGACACCTCGACTGTTGTGTTTTCTTAACTCTGCCCAACAGCTTCTGTATCAAAAAAAGTTCTGTGTTGGTAAGTGCTACCAAACGTTTGCCCATAAAGAGCACAACTTGGAGATCACTGGAATCAATGAAAGCTTTTCCCCTGACTTACACAAACTACACAAAAGAAAAAAGTTACTTAGTTATGTTCCTCATTTCCACAGAAACGGGAGATTATAAATATCCTCCTTGGCAAGGTTTTTAATTAGAGGCAAATCTTGCTCCAAAAACACTGCCACAGAAGGCCTGGGAAGCAGGTTTCCCCCTCTTCATTTCCAATACATAGGGGTGGCTGACACTTTTTAGACATTTTGTAGCAATGAACTGTCTGGCGTGGCTTTGTTCAAAAGCATTTTAACATAAAATGAAACCATTTCAGATAGTGCTTTAAATTGCACCAGTACTATAAACCCCCACTAAGAGCCCTTGTCAGTATTGCTTACTTATGCATTCTCACCAGATTGCATGTTTTTAGTGTGATGCAGAAGATCAGACTAAATGGGTGGAAACTGCTTCAGAATTCATGCAAACCAATAGCTTTTACTTAGGTTACAGGCAGTCCTCTATGAAACGGGATCAGGATGAAATTTTGATTCTCCTATCTCTCCGTCTGGTGCTCTTGAATAACAGAACATAAACAGCATCACTTTGCCATAATATAGAAGTTCTCATTTACTAAGTGCTCACTGGCATTTGACAAATAAGACTAAATTCACATGTACTTTCCAATTAATTATTGTTCTAACATGATAAGCCCGTTTCATATTCTTTTTTCTTTCAAACTGGCACTTCCCAACAATAAGGCTTAGAAAGTCTCATTTACCCTGAAGCTATTCACAGTGTTATGCTACAGGACAATTTTCAAGTAACTGTAAATTTTTATGAGTGTTCTGCTTGTGAATTTAAAAAAAAAAAAAAAGTGTGATTATCCTCAGTTTAACAGTTAAACACCAAAAAATATTCACTCCAAATTAAACCCAACTTCTGTTTACTTCTGGCTTTAGCCCTTGAATATATGAAGGAAATATTTGCGATTGTTTCAATAAAAAGGCAGTATCCAACTGGATAAATAAATACATATACTAAATATATTGGTACACAGCGTGTAAAAAACGTCCTACAGTGAAAGAGCTATTTTTAAAGTTCAGCCTTGGCATGATCGAGCAGCCCAGCAAAAATTCTTCAGTAGCTCTTTAAAAAGTTGCTGTGAGTGTATACAAAAAGGAATTCAAATACATGGCAATACCCAAAAGCATTCCCTTGAGGCCTAAGGCAGAAGCTGGAGACGTTCAGTTGCAACACCTTTGGAAGAACGTTGCGAGTTTTGTTGTCTGGCAAAGTGGGTACACGTGAGGTCTGAGCACAGCACGCGCTTCAAAGCAACGATGGCCTGGATTCTGCTTTCGTGTAAAATGAGGGAGTGAGCATCAAGCAAAGCCCAGCTTTTGTAAACTTAAATCATGCTGCACTGGCCTTGCTTTTGGTTGGGTTGGGGGGGGGGTTGGGGAGCACATGCACATCTTTGTGTCTAGCAAGAAGAAAAGGAAATCAGTACACCAGAACATGGTTATGAGCATTCATCTCCTCTGCAACATCCTCACGCTGCTTTGGTGCCAAAGGCAGTCACCCATTTAAGAACGGTCATGACACAGGTGGTTGATGCATGGTGGTTTCCGACAGGGCTCAAACACGCAGCAACGGGTTTCTTTGGAAGGGGGATGGAGGGGACGCTGGCGTGGGCAGGGTGCAACCACTGCCTACATGGAGCCCTCAGCCCGGGCCACGATCCGGGTGGCTGTCCTAGCAACTCGGTTAAAATCCCCATGCCACAATAAAGCAAGAACACACCTAAGGTGGTGGCAGTGATGGTGTTTGCTTCACAGGAGAATCTGATTTGTCCCTCAGAATAAGGAGCACGTTCCTTCATCTTTTGTGTAATTTATTCACCCCCACCGGTACCGCAACCTCTCTGCCACAGTTCGGGTTCTTCCCCACCGCCGAAGGAGGGGCGGCCTGACAGCGCGCCTGTACAGCGCTCCCAGATCCTCAGGGGCCTCTGAGCGTTTCGGTGGGAGCCAGACACGCCGGGATCCCTGGGCATCCCTGGGCATCCTGGTCGCACTTACACAAGCAACCTGGTGAAACCCGCAGCCACGGCCGCCGCGCGGGATCATCCAGGACCGTATTTTCACGCCGGAAGCCAACAGCCCGGTGGAGCCTGGGGAGCCGGCCGGCC